TTCTAAATCTTACAAGGGAGTATATAAATCTCTTCTGATTTTGCACATGTCTTTTTGGGAGAGGGTGAGGAGGGGGGAAGTAACATGTTTTTACACATATTTTTCTATCTCAGCTATCATCTGGCCCTCACCCCTAGCTATGTGAGGCCAGAAACACACACATGAAACAGCTTGTATAGATGCATCTCCTTGACAGCAATAAGACATGAGGTATTTTCCTCAAGTCATCAGGACTCTGCTTGCGCTTTATCACTGATCTTCACAGAATGCCTACTTTCATAAAGTTTTGTTTGGAGTAGGATCTGAACGATAATCATACAAGAAACATGAAATACAGCATAGAAGACAGCACAGCCATTATTTATTTATTTTATTTTATTTTATTTTATTTGTCAAGCATATATAAGATAATAGATAAAAGTATGAAAATAATTATGAATACATGAGATGGATACAAATAAAAGGGAACATTAGGACAGGGACGGTAGGCACGCTGGTGCGCTTATGCACGCCCCTTAAAGACCTCTTAGGAATGGGGTGAGGTCAACAGTCGACAGTCTAGCTTTTAAGGTTTGGGGGTTTAGGGAAGAAACCACAGAGTCAGGTAGTGCACTGACCACTCTGTTGCTGAAGTTGTATTTTCTGCAATTGAGTTTGGAGCAGTTTACCTTAAGTTTGTATCTATTGTTTGCTCGTGTACTGTTGTGGTTGAAGCTGAAGTAGTCACTGACAGGTAGGACATTGTGGCAGATAATTTTATTAACATTATCAGCCCCCTTCGTTTTATTTGGGCCAACCTTACAGATGGAAAAGAATCCCAGGCATAGATCAGAGGCTGGGTTGAATGAGGGACCTGGGAGGCAAAGAAGTCATTGGAAATAGAAAGCAAACAAACACTGATTAAATGTTTAAAGCATCACTCTGGACATGTGAGTAATAGGATTCATCCTCTATGACAGAGGTGTTAAACTGGTGGCCCATTGGCTGGATGCATCACGCACAGACCAGTCCCACTCCAGCTCTACGAAGGGGGAAATTTCACAATACGTCACATGACAGCGTGATGGCGCAAGTTTGACACCCATGCTCTATGATCAACAATCTTTGCTGTTGCTGTTTTCTTTTGCTTTCCATTAAGTCTTGGCATGTTTGCTTTTTCCCTAGTACAGGTAGCCCTCAACTTAAACCATAATTGACCCCAGCATTTATGTTGGTAAAGAAATTTATTAAGTGACTTTTGTCCCATTTTACGACTTTTCTCACCACATTTGTTAAGTGAATCACTGCAGCTCTTAAATTAATAACAGTGTTGTTAATTGAATTTGGTTTCCCCACTGACCTTGCTTGTCAGAAGGTCTCAAAAGATCATCATATGGTCCTGGGACACTGTAACCATCATAAATGTGAATTAGTTGTCAAGCATCCAAATGTAAATCATGTGGCCATGGGGATGCTACAATGGTCATAAGTCACTTTTTTCAGTGCTGTTGTAACTTTGAACAGTCACTAAGTGAACTGTTTACATCGAGGACTACCTGTAGTAGCACCTGCTTTTGAGATATACAGTGAGTATTTACACAAAGGCTTTGCAATTTCAGAGCCTGCTCTGGACCTGTGAGATTATATGGCAATACTATAGCTGTTTTTGATACCTGAAACAACCTTCCTTCCTTCCTTCCTTCCTTCCTTCCTTCCTTCCTTCCTTCCTTCCTTCCTTCCTTCCTTCCTTCCTTCCTTCCTTCCTTCCTTCCTTCCTTTCCTCCCTCCCTCCAGTTTATTAATATTCCCTTTGTCATACTGTCGATCTGTTACTCAGCTTGTAGTCGTCTGTTTCTGGAATTCATAGCTATTAAAAGATCAAGCAGGACTGACAGAAACATACTCCTTGTCTTTTACTGCAAGAGGTCATCTGTCAGGGCAACCATAACTGTTTCTTCTTCCAGGAGGCAACTGGTCTAGTAGAATGTTCAAGATGAAAGATCGTTTGATGCATTTGCAGTTTTCTTTCATAGACTCTTTCGTGCATTCATTCAAGCATAACAAACTGAGGAGAATTTGTAACAGTATGTAAGTACCCTGTGTTTGCTGGATATTAGCCTTCTAAATTGTTTGCAGTAATAATCATGTGTACAAACATGCCAGGAAAATCCTAACAGATTAAACACAAGTAACCTGGTATAGAAAATAATACAGGGAAAATTTAACACAATTTTTCTGTCATATACTGTACCTTAAATACTATCTTCTGGGAAACAACCCCCTCTTAAACATGCTCGTGAGCAGCTCAAAAGCATCTGTTTGAAAACACCATGACACAAAACACTGAACTAGAAGAAGAAATGAGTTGATGCATCTGATATTTGGGGAGGGGGGGATCTTCCCTCTACTAGCCTCATACCTGAAAGCAAGTCCAATAATTTCTCTTGCAACCCCTTGTCAACTTTTAATGTAACAATCTAATTATATAGAAGTTTCCATTGTAAATTCTGTGTTTAGTGTTTCAATTTTTTTTTTGTCGACCAATTTATTTATTACCATCATTTAGATAATACAATAATACAATCAAATTGTCAGGTTATGTGTTTAAGGAGCATAAAGTTTTGGAATTGTATTTGTGGTCTGTCCAGTCATTTGATAATATTCAGCTTGGGTCAGTATGTGATTTGTTAATTTGGCTACACTAACTGATAGTTAATTTGACAAATTTAGATGGATGTTGGGAACAGAGATTCAGGTTAAGTAGGGATTTATTTCATATACTGTTTTCAAATTAAGACTATATATAATTATTGTGTAAGTATTGATTTGCACATAGAGAAACCTAAGAATTTAGTGATGCATTGGCGGATTTATACTGCTGATTTCGGTATAAAAGCAATTTGATTGGATTGTGCAACTACCTTACACTAGACATAAAATAGGCTGGGACTGTCTCAAGCCATATTTCTGCCTGAATGGGTCTCCTTGTGGCCCCTTCATACTCCAAAATTGAGATGAGTGATATGTAATACTAGTCATTTTAATTTCTGAAAACCTAAGAAGCATCTCTACTTATGTTTGCCTGTAAAAATAAATTAAGATGCAAAGTTATAATATACCCAATAACACTTTTTAAGATAAATGAAATGAATGAATATTATTAAAAATGTGGCTATTTGAAAACTACCTGCTTTGTAAATGTTAAAAAACCAACTTCATTCTGGACATTTGACTCTTGGAAAGTTCCCATCTCCTAAAATAAAATAAAAAAATAACCCACTATATTGTAGGCTGCTACTGAACAAATATATAGTGGCTACACTGATAATACTAGAGGTCCTGGATTAGTATTCAGTGTTTTGCTTTGAATGTTTAGTTTTGCAAGACAAACAGGTAGACGACTGATGGGCAGTGGATGTGATCTAAACAATAAATGTTTTTCCCTTAAAACATCTGGTATTCAGCAAATAGTGTTCCAGGAAACCATTTCCATAACAGTCCAGAATGCCTCCTTTAATTCTCATTGAGAACCTTAACATGTTGTGGCAACAACTTTGTGCCTCAGCTTTCTTTATGGAAATTAAATTTGATGCATAAAAACATAACGATAATCAGACAGAGTTCAGTTTCTTTTTTAAAAAAGACTTGTATAGATAAAAATGGCATTCTTTGTTAAAGTGCATGTATAAATAGCATGATTTAACATGGAAAACATTACTGGAATTTATTGCAGCATGGAAAAAGTCAAACATGACAATAGAATTTAAGGCACCATTTCAGGGAATATTTTGCCTACACATTTAATATTTAAAGATACAGTGAATTACTATATTTTAGAGATTAATTCAATTGGAAGTATTCAAATGGGTTATGGATAAAGCCTTCCTAAATATATACCATAGTAGAAGCTAAAGTTACTTAGATATATAGTAAAGAAACGGTTTCCCAATATCTTTCAAATTATAATACTTTTATGGCAAAATGGCACAAAAGATTTCAAAAATATACCCAAAGTTTTCATCTATGTATGAGGTCTGTACATCAAAATCAGATTCAAGTTGCTCTGAGTAGTTCTTTAGAAAAAAGACTATAGAAAGATGTTCTGAAACATAAAGGAGTGTGTATGATTCATTAGAAAAACCATGGGGTGATTTCCTCCCAGACTTGGGAAGTCCTCATGGCTACTTTAAAAATTCAGAAAGAGATGCTTTATTCACATTCCTGCACATTCCAAAGCACCTTGTTCAAAGGTTTTTCATAGCCATTATTAGAAAGATGGGATACATATTTATATGTATATGTATGCAATTTATTCATTGTATAACAATGAATAAATACAGAGCTTGTAGGCTGAACAGATTAGTCATTGGTAGGTGTTTTTGATGTCAGGTTCCACCAGCAAAGACAAAAATAATGGGGTAACTTTCCTCTCTCACTTTTGAAAATACAAAAGCATGTGTCCCCTTTTTCTTCTGCACTGGCATGACACAATAGAATATGTTACTAGATTGTAAAGATTACAATAGAGCCAGATGATTTTTTTCCAGAATACTTGGTTGCTGGCTTTGTGCACGCAATATTCTTAAACTTGATACTTGAGCGGTGTTGACAAATAAATAGATCTGCCATAATTCCTCTCATGAAGTTCTTCAACCACAACTCTAATCCAGCCTTTCCTTGCATTTAAAAAAAAAACATTTAAGTAGGTAGTATGTACTGACTTGTTCCTTTTCTTAACACTCTCTGTTTGAAGCATATTATTCTCTCGATGCCTGAAGAGATGACAGTACCCACCCAACTTTGGATGATCCCCAAACTCTACAACTCAATATTTAGTACTTAGATAGGAGACCAGGGTTATTGGCTAGGCTGGGAATCCAAATTAGCATGCTTTTGAGTCAGTATTGACTTCTAGCAGTTGAAGTCAATACTGATTATCCGTTGATAAGAGTTTTGAATGGAGTTTGCGATTGATAAAAAAGCTGAAACTAGAGGCAATTTAATCACACAGAGAGAGTGAATAGAGACTGAATTGCGAAGCATATTTATTTATTTGTTGCATTTATATGGCATCCATTCTCACCAATAAAGCAACTCTGGGCCTTCATAATATCTGAAGAATGAATGGATCTGGAAAATGAAAAGGACAAAGAACTTTTGAAAGTGGGAATGGAGGTGGTAAGGCCCTACAAAAGAAAGAGATAAGAAGTTTAAAGAACAAAAGACAATTATTCCACCAATACACTGTGGAAGCAGAGATAATGAGGATAATGAGACAGAGATGAATGGGTGTAAATTAAATATAGTTAGTATGTCTCTTTTTCTATTGAATACTTTTATTTCTAGGGTTTATAATACCTCACTCCTTTTCTGTAGTTTGCATAACATGGCTTACTTTAAAAAGGAATAGAATGATGTGTTTGTATAAATTGTAACTGCAGTTGTTGTTTGAATCTATTTTTTAAGTAAGCTGCTCATATCATTTTGTAGAGTTAGAATTCCATCCTATTCATCCTGATACCAGTTAGGTCATGGGTGTCAAACTTGCCGTGTCACGTTGCTGTCCTGTGATGTTTCACAATGTTTTTCCCATTTGCGGAGCTGGGGTGAGTGTGGCCTGCTTGTGATGCAACTGGCCCACGGGCCACCAGTTTGACACCCATGAGTTAGGTAAAATATATATGACAGACAGACAGACAGACAGACAATCAAAATATATCATCTGATATCAGTTAAGTAAAATGTCATGATATTCACAATATCAGTCTTGTTAGCAACTAGTGTCATACTTATTATGGTCAAGAAAGGAAATTTATGATGAGGAAGAAATGGAGGTATAAATTGTCCTTCTCTCAGATTCTAGTACATATGAATGTTACCGCATGCCATTCCTTGTGTAGGATCTGACCTGCTTCTCAAATTAGGCTTCATTTACAATGTGTACTTTTTGGAATGAACACAACGTATCCTTGCTTAAAATGACTTTGTGACAGACACTATGAGATTTTGCCACAAGAACAAGTTTCCTTTACATTTCTATACGTTGCGAGTGCTTTAAATGATGGATTTCATATAGAAGAAAAATATCTGTTCAAAAAAAGATTTATGTAAGAACTCATAAAGCAAAACAGATGTTATGGGTTCTATAAAAAATGACAAGCCTACATCCATATATTTTTAAAGTAAGATAATAAGAAAAACCTTTGTTTTAAACAAATGGTTTAAGACAGAAAAGCTGTCACAGCTGGTTAGAAAGAGATTACTCCCATATATCTATCCTGAAGAAAAACACCTGGATTTAGAGACTTAGTGACAACATGTTTTGAAAGGAACAAGAGGATGCTTGAAGAATTTCAGAAGGTGCTCTACTATTGATATCTTATGCTTCCTTGACAAATTTTGCAGAATGACCTTTATTACATTATTCTATAAACCTGTAGATTATAATTTTGGAGAAAACAGGTGTTGATTTATTCCATTTACAAATATAATTTGTTCAATGTTTCTTATATTTTTGTGTTGTTTAAAGACAGACAACAATGTTATGTTTATTATAAAAAGTTAACAACCAATAATTGTATTTGCCCAAAGGAAATCTATCCATCGTTTCTGATTTTTCTCTTTTGCCTAGAACCCATGCAATCATCAGCTGCTTTTATCTGGCTATTGGGCTAAATTCAAAAAATCAGCTCAGGACTTTCATTTCTGTCACTTTTGTGCAGCTGCTTGAAAGAGAAAGTTGTTCAGAAAGAAAATGCAGGAGAGGAAGCTGACTGTATAACCCTTAAATGTATGTACTCATTCTATATCAGGGGTCCTCAGACTTGGCAGCTTTAAGACTTGTGGACTTCAATTCCCAGAATTCTTCAGCCAGCATAGTTGAAAGTTGAAGTCCACAACAAGTCTTAAAGCTGCCTTGTTTGAAGACCTCTGTTCTATATGTTTAGGATTATGATATCTGGACTTCAAAAATCTTCTCAGCCAATAGATCTCTGGAGGGCTCGGGACAGGGGTTGCTCCTCTGTTCTGGTCCTGTTAGATCTCTCAGCGGCTTTTGATACCATCGACCATGGTATCATGCTGCACTGGCTGGAAGAGTCGGGGGTGGGACGCACTGTGTTGTGGTGGTTCTCCTCCTTTCTCTCCGACCGGTCGCAGTTTGTGTTGGCAGGGGGGCAGAGGTCGACCTCGAGGCCTCTCATCGTGGAGTGCTGCAGGGATCGGTCCTCTCACCCCTTCTGTTCAACATTTATGTGAAGCCGCTGGGCGAGATCATCCATGGCTTCAGGGTGAGATACCACCAGTACCAGCTGTACATCTCCACCCCAGGCCACCCCAACAATGCCCTTGAAGTGATGTCCCAGTGCCTGGAGGCTATGCGGATCTGGATGGGGAGGAACAGGCTCAAGCTCAACCCTTCCAAGACTGAGTGGCTGTGGCTCCTGGCATCCCAATATAGTCAGTTGACTCCATCACTGACTATTGGGGGTGAGTCTTTGGCCCCCACAGAAAGGGCTCGCAATCTGGGAGTCCTCCTGGATATGCAGCTGTCCTTGGAGGAACATCTGACAGCTGTAACCAGGGGGACCTTTTGTCAGGTTCGCCTGATTCACCAGTTGCGGCCCTTTCTTGATCGGGATTCCCTGTGCACAGTCACTCACGCCCTCGTCACCTCTTGCCTTGACTACTGCAATGCTCTCTACATAGGGCTCCCCTTGAAGAGCACCCGGAGGCTCCAACTGGCCCAGAACGCAGCAGCACGGGTAGTGACGGGAGCTGCATGGCGCTCCCATGTAACACCGCTCCTGCACGAGCAGCACTGGCTCCTGGTGGTCTTCCGGGTGCGCTTCAAGGTGTTGGTCATCACCTTTAAAGCGCTCCATGGCATAGGGCCTAGCTATCTTCGAGACCGCCTGCTGCTACCGACGACCTCCCATCGACCCGTGCGCTTCCACAGAGAGGGCCACCTCAGGGTGCCATCAGCCAAACAATGTAGGCTGGTGACCCCCAGAGGGAGGGCCTTCTCTGTGGGGGCACCTACCTTCTGGAATCAGTTGCCCCCAGAGATAAGGAGAATCCAAGACCTCAGTGCCTTAAAACCCACTTTTTCCAGCAAGCCGGGCTGGCTTAAGAAGAAATTTTAAAAAGTTTTAAATTGGTTTGTGATTTTTAATTTTTGGGCCAAATTTATATATATTTTAATTGTTTTTTAATATTTGTATTTCATGTTCTTAATTCTGGCTGTACACCGCCCTGAGTCCTCAGGGAGAAGGGTGGTATATAAATTGGAAATAAAATAAAATAAATAAATAAAAGATGGCAGTAAAGAGTTACAGAAAACTCAGATTCTTTCCTGCCAGCTAGTGGTCATACAGATTCATGCAGCTACAATAGCCCTAATAAAATGGTGTAATGAGGAGGCTCCCTAGGAATCAAAGAAAATAATGTTGGTGCATGCACATTGCTCTCTTTTCCCTACTGCCATTTCTTGGCTGCAAATAAGCTAGAACAGGCTTCTTCACTTGCATAAATGCAGACATACAGACTGAGGATTTTATAAGGAGAGAAGAAAATTGGACATTGATGTTTTTATGTCTTTTTCTCTATGCTAAAATCAGCCTGGTAGTGGCAACTCATAGTATTTTCTTTCAAATATGAGGTTGGGAATTAATATCATTGAATCCTTTTTCCAATTTGGATTTCATGAAAAAGAACTGATTAGGTGGCTCAGTGGCTAAGATGCTGAGATTGTCGATCAGAAAGATGGTTTGAATCCCTAGTACAGGTCTCCTGCGTGAGCAGGGGGTTGGACTAGATGACCTCCAAGGTACCTTCCAACTCTGTTACTGTTATTATTAACCTTCTCCTCTCCCCCATTCATCTATTTCCATGGAACCTGCTAATCACATCAGGAAGGTTTCCATTTCAGCCTGCCATGTGTAGCCCCATTATGTAGAACACTTTGTTAGCAATGCAACTTCCAAGAAGATCAGGAGTAGGAAAATTTAGAGGTCAGCCACTTAGCATTCTCCACTTCATACACCAGAGTCTAAAGGTAGCAGAACATATAGCAAGACTAGAATGATATCTAAAGAGACGCGCTTAAGGTCCAAAACAACTGATGGCCCAACACTATTTTTTTTTTAAAAAAAATGACTACAGGGATTGTTACCATTAATTGCTGATTTCACTCAAACTCAATTGTCAAGATTCTTCATTGCTGCCCTTATCACTGGGGTTCCCAGAGATTAGATTGGCCTTCTAATTCTTGAGTTTTCAAACATCTATAACATCTTAGCTGTTTGGCATGGTTTGGGGATATGTTGTGTGATTTCTTTCTGCAGGGGGGAAAGACAAAAGAGGGAAATAATGATCTAACTGAGGTTAGAGTGGGAAGTTTGCTATCACACAACCGTATTAATAGGAAACAGCTCTCTACGGTTAGTTTGAAAAATCCCAGGGCAAAGTTGTAATAGGACGAGGTTATTTAGCATGTTGTAGTCACATAGCAATGTGTGTGTATGGGTGTGTGTTTTATTAAGACAATATTAAGATCTGGGTTGCACAAATCAGACAACCACTAAATAGTAGCAAAATATTAAAGGTTTTTTTTAAAAAAAATATATCTTATCTACTATTCAATAGTTGTCTATGAAACTTTGAATGTCAGCTTTGGAAACCATATTAGGCCGGAAGCTTCCATGCTGCCACCTTCTCATGTTTGGGAAAGTAGGAGCGGGGATTTAGTAGAGGGGTTGTCTGAAGACATAATAGCATTCTTCCTGTCGATCAAGGTCAGGGCGATCCTGCATCTGGAGAAGGAGTGGTCGGAGTAATGTCTCGAGATGGGACGGCAGTTGATTGGAGCATGTGATCGACTGAGGACTGAGGGGATAGTTTTGGGGGTTTTGATTTACTGAGGAAAAACCCAGACCTCTCAGATTCAGGTTTTCCCAGATGTGCCAGTTTGCCTATGCTAGTAAATAGAACTTTGAAAATGCTTGCTTCAGAGTCTTTAGTTGGAGCTGGGTTTTTTTCTGGAACGCTGACATTGAACCCAGCTCATCAAATACATCCTGTGACGATGCTGTGATGCCATGAGTTCCTGATCTAAAATCTCCAGTCTTGAACAATATGGTAATAAATAATGGTTCAAGTAGAAAAATGTAACATTGGAAAGTTCTTGTTATAATTCAATTCAATTCAACCTCAGTTCAACCTTTATTGTCAAAGCACAACACGTTACAATGAGGTTGGCTGAGCCTCCCTTCGTGCACCCCACCCCCCGCAACATAAATACTTATCAATAACTCACAGTGAAAGAAGAAAAATCCCTAACCCAATAAATCATACTAACAACACACAATCCTCTATACATATATGTACGTAACATTGCATTATGATATATTACACCAATATGAATATGTTGCACCGGCCACGCAAGTCTATCATACTACACGCTTATGATGTTATGTTGCATAAAAATGCTGCTGCTCATAAAAGCGATAAGGAAATAAAACCAGTCAACTCCATCAACATTATTTCAACTTACTGAGACCAGTCATTTTAGAACTCCCTTGGAATCTTATTTATGACCTCACACAAGAGTACAAACTGCTTCTTTGATATCACAGCTGAAACTTTCCATTATTCACAGCTTTAACAGGAGGTAAGCATGGAAAGAGACTATCTACTTATCTCTAAAGCATATGATTTACGGACAAAATTTAGAGACACACAATTAAGGTTGAAATGAAATGAAGTTTCATAAGAAATGAAATGAAGTTATGTGATTAGATTCTAAACCTCCCAACCCCTTGAGCTGAGATACCCTTTTAACTTCTTCGTCTCATGATAAACTTTAAAAAGTGTGAGTTTTTACTGCATACTAAAATCTTTACAGGATTAACTGAAACAGCCTTCAATGAAATACTGCTCCAAAAATTATAATTGGTAGGGAAAATAAAGAGTTGTTTAGGAATGGATATAAGTCAAAATTTTCAAATATAATCCTATGTGAGGAAAAAAACGGTCTTTCAATGTTCCTGTAAAATACAACTATATATTAAAATTATTATTATAGCCGAAAGAAGATCAGATTCATTTTGTTACCACTTAGAAAATAATATAGAAACTTCATCAATAATTTAAAGATGGATTGAGCTATGCACATTTCTTAGCCTTCAGCTCATTTAAGCTCTCTCATATGCAAACATAATGGCTACAAACACTGAGCTCATTAAACACTGATTTAAATATCTGCTAGGTTAAATGGTAATGTTTGACTGTGGTAAACTGTGACTTGCTTTCATTGCAAGTGCATTTTTGAGATGGATAGGAAGGCACCAAAGAATCTAATTTCCAGTGGTGAAATCCAATTTTTTTTACTACCAGTTCTGTGGGCATGGCTTGGTGGGCATAGTGTGGCTTGGTGGGTGTAGCAGGGAAAGTATACTGCAAAATCTCCATTCCCAACCCTCTGGGGCCAGCCAAAGGTGGTATTTGCCGGTTCTCCGAACTACTCAAAATTTCTGCTACTGGTTCGTCGAACTGCTCAAAATTTCCGCTACTGGTTTTCCAGAACCTGTCAGAACCTGCTGGATTTCACCCCTGCTAATTTTCCTGCATGCCCTTCAGAATATTAAAATTGTTTGTAGGGCAGAGAAAAATTGCAAACTGGATTAAACAAAGAAAGTATCCTGGAAAAAGTTATGGGATAATGTTTATAGGCATGGGTAAAACTATTTTAAATCAGTGAGCAATACGGTACCATAAATAGATTTATGCACACCTGATGGAAAAATGGAAATCTATAATATGCTATTCGGACTGCTTTGCATTCAGCAACCACCATTTCCATGGATGATTGAACTGAGCACTGGAAAGCTAAGAACAATGAAGGAAAGAGCAACAACAAATGGAAATATGAAATTAATTTAGAGTTAACAACAGCTGTATATTTTTCTGCTTTGCAAGTAATGATCGAGAATTGAATCCAGAAACATTCCTCGGCTGAAGTAGCAGGACTTAATTTCATGAAACACAAACACAAACACACACGGAGACTTACTATTTAGATGCTAACAAGCCTTCTAGTTTGACCACATTGTTCTCCTTCTCTATTTCATGAGGGAGTCCTACTGTTAAATCTTTATATCACTTAAATATTCCTCGCCTATGTGAGGTTCATGCTTAACTCTGGGAGCAGAGTCCATCAATAGAATATTGTCACTTATGACCTTCTCAACTGGATGGCTTAAAAAGTGATATTTTTAAATCTATTCCCACGGAGCAATTGTATTCTTTTCTAAAATGACGTTCTTTCTTCTCTTTTTAATATTGTGAAGCTATTTAGGATCATTATGCAATTGGGCGGCTTAGAAATTTGATAAATAAGTTCAGCACCATATATTCCCATCCTATTCTCTCACAATTTCCAAAATAATTGTTAGTCAAACAAGTGTGGTTGTAAGAAAGACTTATAGCTACGGGATCAACTCTTCTCCTAGATCTCTACTAAGGACTCAGTCCAGAGATTTTGTGCAATTGATATAAAGTTTACAATTAGATAATCCCTTTTCCAACCCCATATAGAATAGCAGAAATAATCCTTTCAACACTCCTGTTCAGTGGTGGGTTCAAAAATTTTTACTACCGGTTCTGTGGGTGTGGCTTGGTGGGTGTGGCAGGGGAAGGATACTGCAAAATCCCCATTTCCTCCCGATTAGCTGGGACTTGGGAGGCAGAGAATAGATGGAGGGGTGGGGCCAGTCAGAATTTTTACTACCGGTTCTCTAAATTATTCAAAATTTCTCCTACCGGTTCTCCAGAACTGGTCAGAACCTGCTGAAACCCACTTCAGCTCCTATTCAATTGGGATGAATATACAAAGATGTTAAATATCCTGGAGGCTCCAATATGGAAGACCTTTGATACTAGGCAATACATTGTTATATCCAATGTCCGGGCTTTTAGAGCTGTACTGATTTCTAAATAAATTATTTTGTTTTGATATTTTTTGTCCATCTTAAAGCTGGTCAGGATGAAAAAGGAGAATAATGTAGAAGCGAATGTGATGATACATGAAAAGGCCTACAGCAAAAAAATGAGATACAAATTAATGAAGAGACAAACAAAAAATGGAATTTCTCCATGGCAGAAAATTGAGAATAGAAAGGTATGAGATATGTTCTCAGACTCAGTATTAGAAGCAGAAGGTCTTTATTTTTAAAAAAATTCTCTACCAGCATTTTAAACATTTATTTGTTACAATTATACTCTGCCTTTTCTTCAGAAGTATAAGGTAGCATACTTAGCATATGAGCCTCGGCTACAGTACTGCAGGCTACTTCTGCTGACTGCCGGCTGCCTGTAATTTGGCAGTTCAAATCCTACCAGGCTCAAGGTTGACTCAGCCTTCCATCCTTCTGAGGTCGGTAAAATGAGGACCCAGATTGTTGGGGGCAATATGCTAACTCTGTAAACCGGTTAGAGAGGGCTATAAAGCGGTATATAAGTCAAAGTGCTATTGCTATCTCCTTCTCTCAATTTTCCCACAACCACCACACTAGTTAGGCTGGGTTGAAAGACAGTAACTGGTGCAAAGTCACTTCCTGATCTCCTGTGGCTGAGAATGACCTGGGGTGTCACTGAGGCCAATCTAACCCCTCCTCCATTTCTATTCTAACTATTGCTTTCTTGCACAAAATGCTGCATCCTACTTATTGAATTAACTTAACTTACTGAAACTTATCAACAGACAAAATATGATAGTTTTTTTCAGAATGAGTGGGAAGTATTATATGTTCTTTTGCTTTAATTTTCCAGTGTACTTTCTCTTGTATTATCTCTCTGTGTCTTTCTTTCTCCAACATTATAAACCTAGATGACATTTGCACAATATTCTAAATAAAGGAGTGAGAGGAAAGATAAAGATTCCAATTTCTCTTATACATTCCATTAGAATTAAATGCAAGTAGTCCTCAACTTCCAACCACAATGGAGCCCAAAATTTATGTGGCTAAGTGAGAAATTTGTTAAGTGAGTTTTGCCTCATTTTACGATTTTTCTTGCAACATTTGTTAAGTGAATCACTGCAGTTGTTAAATTAGTAACTCGGTTGTTAACTGAATCTGGTTTCCCCATTGATTTTACTTGTCAGAAGGTCACAAAAGGTGATCACATGACCCCGAGACACTGCAACCATCATAAATGTGAGTCACTTATTGAGCATTCAAATGTAAATCATGTGACCATGGGGATGCTGCAATGGTCATAAGTGTGAAAAATGGACATAAGTCACTTTGTTCAGTGCCGTTGTAACTTCAAATCAGAGGTGGTATTCAGCCAGTTTGGACCGGTTTGGGAGAACCGGTAGCGGAAATCGTGAGTGGGCCTGCCCCCCGCCCCCCTGCCCCAGCTCTATGCCATCCTATTTAGGCACATTTTTGAGGCGGAGCACATGGGTGGAAGGCGCATGTGTGAGCAAAGCAAGCAAGTGTGCACACAAAGCGAGCGTGCGCACATGCGGCAAACCGGTGGTAAGAAAATATGAAACCCACTGCTGCTTCAAATGGTCACTTAGTGAACTGTTGTAAGTTGAGGACTACCTGTAGATCATGTTTGATACCACTCAGTTTCCAATCAATAGAATATTTAGGATTCCACTGAAGAGAAATAACTGCACCAGTAATATATTGCAAGTAAAGCATTCTAGATTCTGTGATTCCTGATAAAAGCTGGAGGAAAATTGGCTTTTTAATCAACTAATGTTGGAGCCTTCATCCATACTAGTGAACCAAGTCATTTCTGCATTTATAGGAAGGCACTCATCATTAAACTAAACTAGGTCTCCCAATGGCTTCTAAGGGGAAAGTGATACCTAAACTCATTTTCCATCCCACTGATTATCCTTCACACTTTGAAATAATACATTACAGAATTTTGTCTTCATCTGTCAATATCTTCTAGAATGGCGTCCACAGTCTTCAGGAAAGAAATGAAAGCCCTCCAACATTAATCCATCCAGAAACTTCAAAACTCCTACCACTGTCAACTGAAGATGGTGCTGAGGATTTCAATATCGAGTTGACACATTTTAATGACCTTGTCAGGTCCAACCCAACAACCTGTTCTGAATACATGCCTTATTATAGAACTGATACCAATCTTGTGGAAAGCCCTTCCTGCCTAAACTCCGAAGTGAACCAGAACAGCCCAGAAGGAGAAGATAGAGTTCAAAGCAATTGCTGTGTTTTTAAGTTAAAACACAAAGAAGAGTTCACAAATGAAAGAGAGCTCGACACTGAATATTTCCCATATTATCGAACATATGAAGAATATTTGACCAGCTCAAATCCCTCTGAAGAAATTAAAAGTAGAGAGCAGAATGAAGAGGCTACCACTAACAGTGATGAAAAAATAAGGAGTGAAGCTGTCTCTAATGCTGAGACTGAATATGCTAATACAGTAAGTTGCATGAGAATGGCAAAACTTATTTATATTTGATCCAGTGGAGTAACTTTCCCAATGTGGTGATAAATTTATTATTAAATTTATTCTAGAATTTACAGCCAGCAAAATTGCAAAATTGTATTACAACTACTTTTTTCAAAGAAAAAGTGAAAATTACCAATATGGAAAGTGTACTTTCTATTCACTTGGGGAATTGGAATTAAGGCATTTAATTATTTTTACAGATAATTCTTCATTTTCAAATTTGGCAGTCATTACAATATTTTATATTTTTATAACTATCACAAATCCTTTCAATTCATTTTAAAAATTGAGAAGTCTTCTTCCAACATGGGTTAGACACCTATAGTTTGGTAATCCTGCTCTTTCTATAGATATTTTGAAAGGCTGCCCCATTTCAATTTTAAGACACATTTTAGGAACTAGTTGTTAGTTCACATAAAACCCATTTTGACAATTTGTCCATTTTTTGTTTTTAGGACTTTCAGGAAAGCAGTATAGCAAATGAAGATACTGGCCAATGTCTTGAGAATTTTGATTTCACTGAAACCCTTTTATCCACTAATTCCACAATAGATTCTGGTGATTCTGAGAATTTTCTCTTAGAAGAAATATTAAGCCGGAATCAATTACCTTCCTCTTCCAATGGCTATTTTCCATACTATCGGACATATGGTAAATTAATTGTTACTTCAAAACACTTAATTAACTTCAGCCCTAGTGGCAATACACTGGGATAGTTTGAGATGAAAAGGGAAGATATTAGAAAGGGAAGCAAATCCATCTGTCCAGTGTGTTGACTCCAGTGAGACAGAAGTCACGGGCATTGTTTTAAAGAAGTTTGCCTTATTACAGCCTAATTATAATTAATACTTAAATCTTCATTTATGAAATTGTTATAGAATCTCAGGGGATGTTTTTTAAAGAACTTAGATATATGAGTTTTATTTGCAGTTTTATTTATTTATATTAATTTTTGCAGTGGACGGACAACAGTGAAAATGAAAAAAAAAAAGCTCTTTCTTTATCAGAGGCTAAAGAAGGCAAAAAATCAGTTAACAAGGGAGAGAGGTTTGTTGTCCTGATTGGACATGTTCTCAGATAAGGATGATTTTTTTTTTAATTGTTAAAAATAATATGAGATTCCAGACTGAAAGATTCCTTTCCTCTATATACACTCCATCCATGGAAAGGTAACATGTTTTTTTAAATAATAATAATAATAATAATAGAGTTCAAATGTAAAAGATGGAAAGTGAGATGCTGTAGATGAAAGTGAATGTGCAATACATAATTCAGCAGCAACTGATTTTATTTTTGTATCTTAATCTATTTAATTTCATATATCATCAATTCCACCAGAAATGGTCCCTGAAAGCCTACCCTTCTCTGTAAGCCCAATTCCACCAAATAAAAAGGAAACCAAAAAGATTTTTCTGTACATCAGCTATTTATTTTTGCTGACAACAAGTCTCTGCTTCCATAGATTTTGAAGGTTTTTTTTTTTCTATTTATTTTAACTTTGGCTATCACAAAGGGAATTAACTTTTGGGGAAAGGGATCTGGTTTAGCTCCTGACACTCAACCAGAGGCTTGGGTAGGTCTCCCAATGTTGCTTTTCCATCAACTGTTTGCACCTGGAGTAAATGTATCCAACCATATCCTTTAGGGCAGTATTCAAACTTGGGCTTCCTACAACTCCCCAACTGGCCAGAATTGAGAATTCTGAAGATTGAAGCTCACACATTTGATGTTAAGGAAATCGTGCTCAATAGAAGAAAGAAGGCTTTTCATTGGCTTTTGTTTAGTTTTATCCCTGGGTTTTATCCCTGGGATTTGCAAAATATCCAGAGGAAATTTGGTGGGCAAGACTTTACTTGGGTTTTAATAAACTGAAGCAGATGGACAGCCTATAGAAGCTGAAGATAAGAGAATACATTTGTTTCCACCCTACCCTATGAGAATAATCTAAAGGGAAGGATGAATATAGATAGTTATCAGCCTAAAGTGAGGGTGATAAATTGTCCTCAACTTACGACCACAATCGAGCCCACAATTTCTGTTGCTAAAGTCATGATCTCATGCCTTGATCGCATTCAGAAATGGCAATGAGGGGAAAGTTCTTTTGGGAAGTCTAAGTCTGGTGCAGTGCTGCACAACTGAGGCTGATCCTGAGTTGGAGCACCTAAAAGTGATCGATGGAAATCTTCCCTAGGGATTGTGATGATCCAGGACAAGGTACGAAGGCCACACAGCCAGCCGAGAGTTCAAACTCCCTTTTAATGCTCCAACTTTCCCCCAAATGCTCCCACATTCTTGGCAAGTCCTAGAGCAAAGAGCACATGCACCTACACGGCAGCCTCTGGCTGCTTGCAGTCCAGCAAAGCAAGGGAACAGGGAAATGAGTCCACAAACAATGAATTCATGAAGCAAGGAAGAAGCAAGAAATCCTGCAAACTCCAAATGTCTGCAACAGCACACAAAACTCTACCAATTCAGCATTTATTCTTTTTTTTTTTTTTATTGAAAAAGTTTTCAAATACAAATTTTTCCCCCTTTTTCCCCCCCCTCCCCCCCCTCCCTAACCCCCCCTCCCCACCCTTCCCCCCCTGTGACTTCTTCGTAACAAAAAAAAACCCTAATTCATAACAGATTACTTACTCCCTCCTCAAAATACTGACCTTTACTTACTAAAAGTATTATAAATCCCCCTTTATCCATACATTTCAGAAAAGAAGAAGAGAAAAAAAAAAAAAAAAACAAACAAACACATTATACTATAACTATTATAAAATAACTCTAATTTAGCATAATAGTGTTTTATATCTATGCATTATTGCAACAATTCAAAACCACCTTCCACTTTTAAACTATACAATAAGTCCTACTTTAATAACATTTCAAAGCGGGCTCCCCATAAAATCTAATTTAACATTTATTCCACTCTATCCATTTCCTCCACTCCCCTAAATGTATCACTTAAAAATCCCTTTTCTTAAACTAATCAGTCTGTAGCTAGCTTATTCACCCACTGTCTTACAAATTTACCATACACAACAATTCTTGATATCTTTAATTCACTGCCCACACTACTTAAAAATATATATATATATATATTCCATTGTATCTAAATAAAAAAAGAAAAGACAATAACTTTAAATTTATAGTCCATATAATATCTTCTTGAAGTCTTTCCACTGGATTGTTAAAACCAACATCCATAATAGGGTGACATAGCTTGCGGATGCAACAGTTTATTCAAGATCTCCAATCATATCTGCCCCCATCAGTAGTAAACATCTTCTTATATATATAAAAGTAAAAACAACCACCCGAGTGACATTATAATTGTATTCCATATAATGATAATTGTGGGTTTCATCAGGATTATTAATTTCCATCATCGTATTGGGTAACAACCCGATCTTCTGCATGTCCCAATGTGATTCTCTTGCCTTATAATTCAAGATAATTATAATATATTTATCAACACAAAAAGAAGTTTCAAAGTAGATAATTCAAAACCATCAATTTGAGGCTCTTTCCATGTCCCAAAATTACGGCAATGCAGAGATCTGCCACTATCCTCAGGATGATATTGACCAATATGTCGCCTCCTCTATGTTTTCACATAATCATTCATATTTTAAAATCACTGGCTTCACTGTTGCTTGGGTTAGAAATTTCTATTTTTGTACAACCTATTTCTTTTTTTGTTTTCTTTTTGTGGGTTTGACCTCCATCCTAATTTTTTGTGTCTCGCATTTCTTTTTTATCCCTTGTATATCCTCTAATTGGTTTCCATGCTTGTCCTTGCCTTGATAAGTCATCACATTAAAATCAGATGGCACTTCTCTCAAATTTGTAGATAATCCAGCTGGGGTATCCGATAAATCCAAAGGCAATTTATCTGGTACAGTCTCTGTCTTTAGTTCCAGCTCCTTCTGCTTATCCTGTATTATATCTGAAGACGTTAAATTCATTTTCAACCTATTTTGATAAAATTCTTCCGCCCTTTCAACAGTATTTAACTGGTATCTTTCTCCTTGATATCTCAATATAATACCAACTGGGACGTCCCACCGGAATTGAATATTTCTCCTTTTTAACTCAGACACCAGAAAGCCAAATTTCTTCCTTCCTTTCCATTAATATCTTAGGTGGGAGTTCCTTATAAATCCAAATCTTTCTTCCATACAATTGCAAATTAGAATTGAAGGAATTTTGCACAATTTTATTCCTAATTTCTTTATCTGAAAAATAGATTACCACATCTCTAGGCAATTGCCTTTGCTTGGCAGTCCAAGAGTTTATTCGATAAACACTTCCTCAGGTTGAATCTTTAAAATCCCAGCTAGAAATTCAGAAGATATTTTCCTTAAGTCATCTCTGTTATTTTCCTGCAAACCTCTAAGTCTTATTGCATATTCTGTGAAATTATATTGTATCTTTAGAACCTCTTTTTGAATCCTCTGTTCCAGATATTCTACATTACCAGACTTTTGGTCAGCATCCATTTTAAATTTTTCTTCTGAACTATAATCCTGAATATTTAACAAATCATTTTCAATTTTTTGAATTCTATTGTCCAATTTATCTTGAATTTCATCCATTTTTGACTCTAGTAAATTAATATTTGTATCCAACCGAATCATGAATTCTGGCAATTTTAAAATTTTTTGCTGCAAAAAGTCAAACTTGGATTTCACCAATTCCTTAGTTTCCTGCTTAAATTTTTCAAGTTGCTGATTCACAATCTCATCCCTTCTTTCAATCTCCTCTAAGAGAAATTCTATTATATTAAAATCAGGTTTCTGGGACTGAAGAGTTAAAACATGTTGCTTTAAATTCTTAGTGGGGGAATCCCCCCCACCTATTTGTTTGTCTGACTTCACAAGCCTCAGTGCCATGTTTCCGCCTAAGCAGGCTTTGTTAGAAGAAGAAAAAAAAAAAAAACAAGACAAAAGACTTCCAGCCAGCAACACTCAAGCCTCCAGGGAAAAAAGAGAAAAACAAAAACAGGAGCGGAGTTTTATCTACAAATGTAGCCAGTGGTATTTATTCCGCTACATTGTAATAATAAAAAACGGAAGAACTTTCCCTCTCAAACTCTTCTCCAGCCGCGGCAGACGCCATTTTAAAAAGAAACTTTTTTCCTCTTTCTCTTCCTCTATTCTCTTAAGTAATTTTTAAAAGATAAGTAAAATACTTGCGCTTCAGTATTACAGGTCCAGCTCACATTTTCTTTGAGTAATCTGTCAAATTCGCAAGCTTGCTTTTGACGCCTGGCTCTGCATTAGCAGAGGTCTCCCAAAGCCCGGAGCAACGGCTGGGGATATGGGGCATCTCATCCGCTCCATCCCAAAAGTAAAAGAAAAACTTTTGGGACTCTGCAGAGAGTTCTACCCACCCCTGCCGGCTCTATCTCCGTTTCCTCATGGGAACGGAGTTTTTTCGAGCCGCCGTTCCGTTGTGAAGGCGGCTCTAACAGGCAGTGGAAGCTGACGATCCCAAAGGAACGTCTGGCGGCGGCCAGCAGCAAACAGGAAGTCCAGCATTTATTCTTGACAAACTCCCCTCCCCAAAGCATCTCCCTAAATCTCAGTTCCCAGGTGTGCCTTGTCACACACCTGACAAGGGGCGGGGCACTCTCCTTCTGAGTCATTGGGTTGGCCTGCACTGTTCTGGCCTTCTCTCCACTCTCTGTGCTTGGGGATCAGGAGGGGATGGTCCTTGCTCATCATCTGAGCTCTGTCAATCCTCATTTCCTCTTGGTCATCCTGCCCCTGTTCCTCCTTGCTAATGTAAGGTCCCAAAATACACTTGAGTCACCAGAATGCCAAAGAGAGAGACTCAAGACGAGGCTTGCAAAAAAAACCAGATTTTATTTATGGCCAAAAACAAAATACTGGGTGGAACTATATCCAGAACATACAGATACCATGCATGCGAGGAAATAGCCACACCATGGGGAAGGTATGGCATCCTTTTATACCCTCAGAGATGTCAGCTTCGTACCCAATTCTGACTTCCTAATTTAGGTTTGTGTATTCCTTGTTGCCCTGCAAGGGGGAATAGAAACTTCCCAATTAGTCATCTTGATATTTCTTTGTTTACTCAATTGGCCACTTTGGCTCCCTGGCCCTGGAAAGCAGGAGTTTATCCAGATCAAACATAAATTAGGGCTGAGGTGTAAATTATCCCTTGGAGATACGTACCATGCTCTTAGATGGCACAAGAAAAAACAGGGAGAAGATTGATATGGATTCAGGTCAAATGGCAGGGACATATATTTGACAAATACCAGATACATTACAGAGGCCTAATAACAGAATATATTTGTTACAGGAGATACAAATATAAAGGCATATATGTATTACAGGAACCTAATGGTTACAGAATCTAGTATACCAGTATATCATATTCTAG